GGAAATAATGTTTTCACTATAAATCTCATCTACAGGTTGCCCCACCACCACCCCACACACACACACCAATTCACATTTAGTGAAGAAAGCGTTGCACTGACACGATGCTAAGAATCTTCTAATCACCCACACGTAATTGGGATGTTTAATTAATAAGTGACACACTTAACATGCAAACCCAACACTTTTCAGAAATGCTGGCCTAGGTTGTTAAAAACGGTGTGCTTATATCCAGGGAAATGTTGGTGTGCTTTTCTAAATCCTACAATAATGATCTGAATGCCTTTGAAATGGGCATGATTTTCTCATAAGCCCTTTTTTGAACCCCTTCAATGAGATAGACTTAGAATTTGAGTGTAAACACATAAATACTATATAGATATACCTAAAATCAGTGCTCACCCACCTATTCATGTATAAAACCCTAAATATGTATTACTTTGATCCTTTTTTATTCATTTCAGGACATTTTAATAATTTTAAAGTCATTTCAAAATATGTAATCCTACCTTTAGGTCCAAATCAGGAGAAAGATGAAGCTTTTTACTCCCATTAAGAGTCACAGTCTTAGAATCCCACAGGTAATTCTACTCCGTCCTTATAGGTCAGTGGTTCTCGACCTTCCTAATGCCACAACCCTTTAAAACAGTTCATGTTGTGGTGACCACCCCCCCCAACCATAACATTATTTTCGTTGCTATTTCAATTTTGCTACTGTCATGAAATGGGTGACCCCTGTGAAAGGGTCCTTCGAACCCCAAAGGGGCCGTGACCCACAGGTTGAGATCCGCTGTTCTAGGGCCTCTAATGAGTCGGAATCAACTCAATGGTAGTGAGCTTGGTTTCTTTTGTTTGTATTTTTTTGTTTGTTTGTTTGTATTTTAGGGCCAAAAATACCCAGTTCTTCTTAGGGAACAAAGAATCACTCAGGCTTCTGCTGACTTCATCTAATAGGAAAAAATAGTTAAGAGTGATTTCAAGAAAAGAGAAACCCTTGCTTGGTCCATCACTACGGGGAATTTGCAGCCGCCCTTGTCATCACACTCGAAGAGAAGAAAGCAAGTCAACCAAGGTTGACTGTCCTCCCTCCTTCCTCCTGGACATGTAGCTGACACAGTGCTTACCGAAATACCCCGCAAAACCATCTGCTCCTTCTGATCGGACGTGGCAGCTGCAGGAAGTGGTGTGCTTTCTTAGACCTCCTCAGGGGTCCCCAGACTTTTATCAGCCTTCTCGCTGGAAAACACCTCACATAAACTTTCCTTTCCCCACTTTCTCACACAGCTACACTGGTTCTTCATTAAAACACTGGCCAAAGAAATTCTATATCAACTGGAAGTTACTTTCTTAAGATCTAGATGAATGTTTGTCAGAAAGCCACCCATCAATTTAAAAACCAGATGTTAGTATTTGACTGTTTAAATATTGATAAAATAGCATAATCTCCATGTATCAGTTAATCTCCATTCATTTTTCTCAATGAGTTTCCAAACAGCCTGTGTGTGCAAATAAATCAGTGACTGACGTGATAAAAGAGGGGCCACTTGCAAATGAGTCACTTAAAATTTGAGGTGATCTGCATTTTGAAAGAAATTTTAATTTTCTGCATAAGTAAAATAGAGCCGTCCACATACACTTTTTGTAAGGAAAGCTTAATATTTTTAACTTGAATAGTGAGTAGCTTCAAATGTTGCTTTGGATGTGCTCGTGCATGTGCAGTTTTGAAGATGATCGCACTGGCTAATTGCAGCCTTAGAAATCCCTCAGAAGTGCACCTGTGCTTCTCTGGATGTGTAATTGATTTTAATTGGTGCTTTTTATACTTAGTAGAAGCTGGGTGTTCAGTTAATTGGCACACCTTAATCATATTTTTATGTCCATATATTGTCAACTTTTGGGGGTCATTTCCTTAAGTATAGACTCAAATCTGTTTAAATTTGCAAAGCAGCAAATACATGTGAGCATCGAATACCTATGGGTTTAGAATGGCAGTGGTGCAGTGGTTCCGTCTACCTCATAAGCTTGTTAGTGATGCGGTGAAACTCTCCAGTCGGGGGGAGCTCTGGAGTAAATGTTGGCAAGAGAGTTGTCAAGTCAGCAGTTGCAATCCACCAGCCAAGGTGGGGGAGGGAAATCGGGTTGTCTGATCCCACACGTGTTTACAACGTCAGAAGCCCTATATAGGGTTGCTGCAAGTCAGAATCAACTCAATGGTAGTGGGTTTATGTTTCTGTTGCTGTTTTCTACTAGCATTTTAAAAGTTAAAAATCATCTCCATAATGAAAACATTAGCAATTCTAAAGAATGTGCATGTAGAAAACTTGCTTCGTTTGCTCGTATTGCAAGTTATTTACAATAACAAGTTACAGAGTCATATGGGCCAAAGGTGACTGTAAACTTGTTGTGCATTATGGCATACTTCCATCCTAAAGCTGGTTTCCTAACGTGTGTTTCCTATCAGATACCCATTAAGACCTGTTCTTGTCCGGATAAAGTAATTGAACACCTTCCAAATTCTGAAAAGTGAAAGACCTCTTATCAAATGGCAAATTTTATAGATGAGATATACAGATGTGTGTGTGTGTGTCTCTCTGGTTATACATTGGGTTGCATTCTGCAAGGTTTGCAGTTCAAATCCATCAGCAGTTCTAAGGAAGAAAGACAGTGCTTTCTACTTCCATAAAGTGTTAGTCTTGAAAACCCATAGGGGCAGTTCTACCCTGTTCTATGGTGTCCTGGTGAGTCAGTATCCACTCAACGGCAGTGCGTTTGGTTTGGGTTTAGGGTTTTGTGTGTGTGTGTGTGTGTGTGTGTGTGTGTGTGTGTGTTATATGTACAAAGGGACTTCAAAACGTTTGTAGAAAGATGAAAAGATAATGGAACTTTTCGGTGAATTTTTTAAAGCCCCCTCAAACAAGTGTACCTACTGTATATACTCGTTTATAAGCTGAGGATTTCTTTCAGCACATTTTTCATGCAGTTTCTGTGGTAAAATTAGGTGCCTCAGCTGATATTCGGGTCGGCTTATACTCGAGTATATGTGGTATGTATCTGTGTATGTGTATGCATTTAAATTTTTACATATGTATATATGCAGTTGCAGCCTTTTAAAAGTTTAACGTGTGTCTTTCTGTCTTTCTCAGTCCCCTCATTGTAGTTTTGTTCATTGTTATTTGAAGATCCTATGAGGTTAATGTTTGTGGGAAGAAAAGTCACATTTGGAGATTTTTCTTATTAACCGCTTGTTCTAATTTTCCTACTGGTTTTTCAAAACTGACCAGTCATTTCTTAAACCACCAAACACATGAACAACACATTATTTGAGTTAATTTTGCAGCACCTATTTCATAAAGTTTTCTGTTTTGATAAATTCTAATCTGTAGATATGCCAATATGATTTTAAGAATCCAAAAATGTTTTTTAAATCACGACTTTCTTCCTGTCAGAATGTAATTCTTTTTTCAGGTATTATAAAACCTAACTAATCACATATCTAATTAGTCTGTATTTTAGATGTCAACATGGGATAGGAAAATTTACACTCTTAGTACTAAAATATGAAGGAGAAGTACACCAACCCTGGATGTCTTTTTTTCTTTTTCCTCCACTTACCCATTTTCAATATCCACATCCCGTCTTTATCACCCAGAGTGCCAGGCTTGAAAGGTTTGAACTGCATTAAGAAATCACTATTAAATTGGGAACGATATCTCTTCATCTCTTTCTATTTTCATAGACACTTGTCCTGCAAATTTGTTTAAAGCAATAGTTACATGAATACTTTCTTATGTTTATAGTGAAAGTGGTGGGTCCTTTTTTTGTTTTGTTTTCCATTTAGGAAAGAAAGTCATTCTGTTTTCAAAGGTTTCAAACTTGCCAGCTGACACGCTGTTTGATGGCGTGCTGATTAGTACACACAGTGCCTTCAAACAGAGCAACTGCCACCAGACTGAGTCTGTCTCGCTGTTTTTGATTCCGGGTTTTGCCCTTCACCTCTCGCGCCATCCTCTCTGTGTCTCTCCGAAGTCTTCCTGCCCTTTGCCAGGGCTTTTCCTCTCGGCTCCCGGGTTCTCTTCTGTATTTCACCCTTTCCTTTCCTTACCTTCTCTGCATTGGACTTTTCACTTCTTCAGATTTTGAGGCAAAATACGATCATGAAAAGGCACAGTATTTAGTCATTAATAAGCTTCGAGTAACCTCTAGGTGTCTGGATTTTCTGGCTCCAGTGGTGTTAGCTTAATGGCACAAAACTTCTGCAGAAGGAGCTAGAATACTAGCCTTAGGATCCCTTCTTTGAGAGGACTAGCTATGTAACTAGCTCATTTGTTTCTGGACATGTACACTATATGAGTTGCTATGTATGTTTGGTGCATGTCTGTTTTCCCTATACTATGCCATAGGTAATTCCAACGAAGGCAATTGTTTTATAACAAAGTGTATTCTAGACAAGGTTTTTTTTTTTTACTAGTTTACCTAATGGATGGGTACATGCACATCTTCCCACTTAGTCTCCTAGTCTTTAGACTTCTCGAACCATTTCAAAGGCTTTTCCTGAGTGGCACTGCCACAAAATATAGGGCAGACTGCTGTGTGCTTGTTTCTATTGAACTTTTCCAGCCAGAGCCCCTCAGTGTTCCTCAGGGAAAAGATGAGGTTCTCCATTCCTAGAAAGACCCACCACCTTCAACACCAACAAGAGCAGTGTTGCTCTATCCTATAGCGGTACTGTGAATAGGAATTGAGTTGATGACACTGAGTTAGTTAGCTTGTTGTTTGGGTTTGAGCCAGACTTCGAACATCTCAGCACAATACTTAAGAGATATGCAACACGAAACTTGAGTCTGATGGAATCTGATGCACCTAGGAACCGGTGTATATATGAGTCTGATGGAATCTGATGAACCTGGAAACCGGTGTATATATATATATATGAAAAAGCATGTTATCTCATAAAGACAGACATTGGGTCATGACCACCTTTCATGTTCTCTGTGTGCAAGGTGCCTGTGTCGGTGGCCATGATGACTCCCCAGGTGATCACCCCTCAGCAAATGCAGCAGATCCTTCAGCAGCAAGTCCTGTCTCCTCAGCAGCTGCAAGCCCTTCTCCAGCAGCAGCAGGCAGTCATGCTGCAGCAGGTAATGTGGGTTACTTGCTTTGGCGTGCTAGCCGGGCTCAAGGTGGGCGACTGCGTTGATGGTGCCACAGGCATAGTTGACAATTCAACCCCGATGCAGCGTGGCACAAGAGAAGTGAGCTCCCTTGGTCTTTTGCAAATGCATTGAAGCCTGCAGGAAGAGTAGTGAGAGATACCGTTTGAACACAGAGTAGATCAGTGTTTAAATTTCCCAAAGTGCAGTTGATTTGTAGACTTACCAGCAAAAGTGCAAAGAAACTTACAGGTCTTTGTTGCTCTGAAAATTAACAGTCAGTATCCTTTCGGTGTTTCTTCATTGACATAAGTCACACAAATGTGAAGTTTGCCTCAGCTCTGCTGTTACACTAAGGAAAGTAACGTCTTGAATGTCCCTTTGCAAGGCAGACTCGGCATTCAAGCAGTGAGACTATTTCTGAGAACAAGGTTAGATGGCTAGACAACAGGTTCATGAAATACATCTCTTTAAAGACCAACGTAATGCTCTTAATAGGAACATTCTTTGAGCCTGTAGCATAATTCAAAGTGGGTTTTATGTTAAATTCCTCCTGATAAGAGAGAAAATAGTGTTTTACCTGAACTATTTTATTTAAATCTTTGCTATCGCCTATCAGTGCTTGTAATTCTGTGCCTGGCATTCTTTTCTGCATCTGATGCATTCTATTTTTGCCAATAAGAGAAATGAGCAATTTGATTTTGTGCAACTAAATGTTGGCTTTTTTACAATAGTCTCTTTTTACATGTGCTCAGAACTTCAGGTGCAAGAAGTTTAAGGCATTCATTTGGCTCTGGCCCTTTAGAATACAAATTTTCTATACCCTTTTGTTTAGGATATTTTGGATTTTGAATTGGAATTTTTCAGAGCTCCCTTGGGGGATAAAATGTATGTAGATCTATCTCTTTGATTCAATGCATATATGTGTGTATGTGTGTGTGTGT